CTCGCAAACTCCCGACGCGGACTTGCTTTTCAAAGGACCATACCCGAGCATCACCTCTGATGGAAAGCACACGCTTTTTTTTTCTTCGACCCGCCAGGTATATAGGTACATACACATGTGCGCATTTATTTTTTGTTCTCTCTCTCTCTCATCCGAGGGGCTAATGGAAATATAACGGAAGAACTGGGATTTTTTGTCGGCCATAGCAGGTAGATGATACGATGCACCACCGAGCAGCGCCTAGGATTGAGGTATATTATTTTTTTTTTGTCACAAGATAGGTATATATATATACGCGATGCGCTAGTTGCTGGCAACGGCTTTTGCCGATGAGAACCAGTTCGCTCGGACGTGCAGGTGCACTATTCGGTTACTATTCAATTTTATCCGCCACTCGACTGGGAACAATACATATGTATATATAAACCTCGACCGGGGCGTTCGGGGGCTTAATGATGAGAGCAGCCACTATACTTAACCGCGAGAGCGGCGTTTCGGAAAAATTTGGTATGTATAGGTGCGCGAGAGAGGGGTGTGTTTGCTTCGTTTCACACGACAAGCTAGGTGGCGGGGCGGTTTATCAAAATTTCGCGCCCAGCACCGACACCTCGACAATTAATCGTTGCTTGAGTGCATAAGGAGGGAGGAAAAAAAAAAAAAAAAAAAAAAGAAAGTAACAGTGTTCAGGGAAAAAACGTCAATCCGCTTACAAGACAAAGCGCCGTAGAGAGAGAGAGAAGAAAAACTCTAGTCGACAAGCGCCACACGATTTCCGTGGATAGCGATAATCGTGCGATGTAGCGAACGATTTCCCGCAGATTTCAACTTCGAGCCAAAACGTAGGTATAGATACTATATCGGTCGATAGGTCGCAGTCGCCTCGATTACAAGCTATGCACTTGCGAGACTCACGTGTAGCCTGTGTACGTAACTAGTTATATATATGTGTGTGTATGAACTCGGCGTTGATCACTTGTCGCGATACGCTTTTTTACCTACTAGATAAGTCTTTATCTCGGATGTCGATGAGCAGTGCTTAGCATCGATCTTGTCTGGAGGAAGCAGGTATAGACGAATAAATAAACAAATGGGGGAAAATCAGTGTCGCGGTGGAGGTTGAGAAAAAAAAAAAAAGAAAAAAAGATCGTTTCACAAAGGAATCGTTCGACTGTATGGGATCTCGCGTCGGTCCCTTTTCCCCAGCTGTGCCACAATAGAAACAAAAAAAGAGCGCGAGGACGATAAGACGCGTCGGGAAAGTGATCGAGAAAACCTACGGAGGAAAAACGACACACGGGTATATCATATACATCGGAGAAAATGAGAGAAAGGAAAAAGGGAGAAGAAAAAAAAAAAAATAGTAGCTGCTTCGTCGCGTCTGTAGTGCGCTTTCTATAGTGTAACCCCGTGAGAACTCGGCGAAGAATGAAGACGGGCCCCCACGTGCATCTAAGTATATAACTGTATGGCCGCGTGCAACAAACAACACACATCGACACGTACACTGATTTTCTCCGACCCTATATATAAATGATGGTTGGGCGTGATAAGATGCACACCTCGCTTTTGTGTGGGTATGTGCAATGTATGTGTGTGCGAGCGAGTGTCATGGATACCAAGATATCAAGTATCCACTTTTTTTTCTCTCCTCTTCTGCAGTTGGTGTACGCGAGTACGTGCACTCTATAATTATCGTCGTTGGTGGTACACGTTTAAAGTAGAGCGTAAACTATCTTCCCCCCCCCACCCCAACCCTTCTCTCTCTCTCTCTCCGTCCCCGTAAGTACTTGTACGTACATCTATGTGTTCCGATGCTATTTCAACCTGATTTTTCTGTTAATTTCGAGGACACCACAATCTTTCCCAATTACACGCTTTTTCGGGAAAACAACTCCTTACCGATCTCAATTCATAAATTATCCCATTTCTTTGCCAATCCAGCAAGTTTAAGCTCTTAATGCGCAACTAAAGTCACGAGGGTGTAAGTATAATATATACCTGTTGATTTAGCAAAAGTATGGTCGGGTCGACAGAAGCTCGTGTGAAAAGCCAAAATTGATCAAACACAGTCGCGGTTTGCACCAGTCCGACTCCTGAGAAGTGCTCGAGTTACCCTTTTATCCTTCCCCGAGTCCCAAAGCGGCCACATCCTAAAGTAAAGGAAGGAACGATTGTTGTGATCATCAGGCAAGCTCGATCGTTGCAGAACGGCAGGGCAGGTGCTCCGGACCCCCACAGATCCATGGGAGTCGTCTCGCGACAAGAGGGTCGGGGCGGTGGGCTGAGCGAGAAAGAGAGGAAGGGAAGCTGCGTAGAGGAGGGTGGGAGCGCGACCAGTTCCCTCGGTCATTCCCTGGGAAATGAATTTTCGTGCGTACGGAAAACACTTCCCCCTTGGAGAGAAATCGCTCTCTGGCTTTTCCGTATTTGTACAATGTACAACGTATATTATAAGTGTACGAGGACGAGGAAACGCGCTCGTCTCGCATGGATGGCCACAGAGAGGTGGAGTCAAAACGCTCGTGAGTAACAGCGTCACGGGGACTCCAGTACCAGGGCGTGCGCGCGAAACTCGTTTTTTTTTTTTTTTTTTTTTTTTTCTTCTTCCTTTCTTCTCCCGGTCCTTCTTTTGTGGCCAGCATGGGATTCGTCTCGAGTGCAGAGAACCATAGGAGTCGTCCGAGTCGATTGTCGTCCGCAAACAGGCCCAAGGGTGCCCTTTGAACGTTACCATATACACAAATTGAGTCGCCTTTCGAGACGGGAATAACGACGCAAACTAATTTTTTTTCTCTTTTCTCCCTTTCTTTCCCTCCCATCGAACGTTCGCACAAAGAGCGGCGGGGATCGTGAAACAAACGACAGCTCGAACCGTAAACGACGGCAATTTTCCTTCACAGCTAATTAATTAAAAATGAACTTTGTCAAATCGATCGATGGCTGTACTTTGCGGGGCTAAAAAGTTGTTATCGGGCGATAATTAAAGGAAGGGATCGATCGATAAGGCCCCGACAGCGCGAGCAGATGCAATCGCGGGCCCATTGTTTGCCGTCGGTTTGTTTATACATTGCAATATGTATACGTCGTCGCGAGACAACGCATCAGATGTGAATAAGGGTATACGGAGTCAGGTACAAACGCTCGTAATGGGCCCACCCTTGAGGGGCTTTCACGATTTCGTAACCTCGAACTTCCCGGCGTCTCACGTACCGATATACACACATATAGGTAGTTACGCGACTTTTGAGCGACAAAGTAACTTTCGCACGCCTGTGTCTCCAAGTGGAGGCCCGCTGTTGTCTGTACCTTACGTGTAGTATTGTAAGGGTATAGAGTCGACTCTTGCATGTATAAGCTGCGGATGCATGTGTACACACACACATGGGTAATGACGAGCGGCGGCGCTAAATCTCGTTGGTGCGAGGGGAGAGCCCGATCTTTCAACCTGCGCTGCCGCAGAGCTGCCGCATTAGAGGACCCTGTATATTATATGTATATATATACCTACACCTCTCGCACTGGGCCCCCCCGTCGTCGACACTCACTTCCCACGGAAGCGGAAACTACGTCTGGGTATATACGTGGGGTGAGATTATCACTGAGCAGAGGAGAGAAAAGGGAAGAATTGTGCGGCCATTTAGAGAAGCAGTGCCATGGATTGTTTGACTCGAAGAAAAGACGACGGATACGCAATAATGTACGGATATTGATAGGTGATCGGCTCTCCTCCTCGACAACGGATATTTTTCTCCTCCACTGGGGTGCAGCCGAGACAGATGCCTACGATGGAATAAAAAAAAATTTGGACTTTCTTTACGATGGGCCCGAAGCGAATCTACGATGTGTCTTTGGGTGTACATGTGCTTGTTTTGTCTAACGAGTGGAAAAGCTGTTTATTTCAACGACTCGGCGCTCCGGGGCTCCCCGATACGTACAATACACATATATTTATGTAGGCTACCGCAACGAATAAATATATATGTATACCTGAGCGAGGAAATATTATATACGTTACAAATGTGGTGCGGTGTGCACGATTTATCGCGCAATACGTGCGGATTTTTTTTTTTCCACGACGAATTTCTAAAATAATCTTCTGCGTGTGTATACTTACGCATTGATTTAGAAAATAATTGATCGATGAAAAAGAGCGAGGAGCAAAAAATTGACTATTCGCGAGGTGGATACAAGGTACGTGGCGTGTAAGAAAAGCCGCGTTCGCCGACAATCGCTTGCGAATTGTCTTGCCGTCAGAGGCAATCAAGAGCCAGGCCCCCGCGCTCGCTCAGGATTTATTAACGTTTTGACATGAGACTGTGTGTATTGTACACGCTCCCTCTCTCTCTCAGCATCGCAGTCACGAGTATAATACGTGTGCGAATCATCGACGTCTTCTTTACCCATACCAATCAAATAATAGATTTCGCAGCAACAGCAGTAACATCGACTGGAAAATCTTTTCTTTTTCTTTCACAATGAATATTTCGACGGGCACCAATAGTATGTTGTTTCATCCAAATTTTTTTTTCATTGGAATCGATATTACTCAAGTATTGCTTGTCTCAAGATTACTTGCTTTTTCTATTTTTTACGAATCGGTAAATTTTTTTTTAACTTGTCACGGTTTCCATCTTATTTGTACGTTTTAGTTATGTAACAACTCATATAAGAATTATTAATTTTTTAAAAAATTTTAAGAAATTCGTTTTATTCGTGTATTTAACAATGTTATTTTTATAGTCAATTCATGAATTTCAACCAAATATAACATAAAAATATATATTAATTCTGATATCAATTGAACTGCGTCACTATTAATTCTGTGTACAATAATTAATGTCTACATGGCTTAAACATGTTTGTATTTATAGATTTTTAACGATTTTTCAAAATATTTATCAATAGTTTTTTAATGAAGGAATTTATTCCTCTCAAGTTCTGAAAATCATAGGCCAAACTTTAGCATTATGAGTAGATTTTATTTTCATTTCACTTTTTGTTTATTCCTACAAACATTTCGACTTTATTTTATCATTTTCTACATATACCGTAAAAAGTACCATTAAATGCAACAGCAGTACCTGTGAACCTGTAACTAAGCGTAAACTGCCTAATTGGAGTTTTGTAAAATCATACAAAAAATACCATATTCCTTAGCTCAACAAAATCACAGATTCGAATTATTAATCAATGAAATTATACATATAAAATTGTTTTGAAGCGAGTCAAAGCTTGTACAATCACACTGTTTGGCCGCAATCTTGGGTCGGCCAATGTACCTACACGTACANCGATGCTTGCTGTGTTTCGTGCCTCCACTGTCTCGAACATATCTACTGGTGTCATCTCTTTCCCCGTGATGTCTCGACGTCGACGATGACGATGACGATAACTTGACGCTGCGCTCCTTGTCCTCTCTGCTACGGTCCGAGTGCTTGTTCCGCCGATGGGAGGATGTCGCCTTTCGATGGCGCACCACCGCCTGGGGCGGCTTTATCTCCAGGGAGTCCGTTGTGTCTACGCCTTCTCCCTCGGAATAACTTGAGTTGGAAAAAAAAGACACGCGCGCCCGACGCTTACATTAGTTAATTCCTTGTGTTCGTACACTCGTTTTTTAATCTGTATTTAGATCTTTAGTAAATTTAGTAGTTAGTAGTTTGCAAGAAAAGGAATTGTATTGTAATTAATAAGTACACTAAATTACGCCGCGGACGCACATAACCTTGTGATTCGTGGTTTAGTTTCTAATTTTAATAGTGATTATTTGTTATTATATTATTTTATTTAGGCTGTGTTTTCATTAAAGAATTTTCCAACGGAAAACTAGTTTCCACGAAATTACCTTGAAATGGACTTGCGAACTGCTGGCATTTTTCAACATACCTATAGGTATACACTACAATAGACACTATAGTGAACCCATACACTGTACATGATTAAGAGTACGATAGCTGCACTGCACACATCGCTTTTCTTTATTTATTTATCAAATAAGAAGTGAGTATATTCAATCGAATTTACTTTCTCATGAAGCCTTTAATACTTATAGATGCACCATACATCACAAACATGTACCTATACTGAGAAAACTGCAACAAATGTTACAAAATTGTTTGCTAGAGCAAGTCAGCCAGTGCTCCGAATGTTGAAGCATTGAACTTGAACTGATGCGTACGGAAGCCCGGTCTGCACGAAACTGCACGTATATATATATATATATATGTACGAGAGTACATGCACGCGCGAGGCGGGTTGAAAAAAAAAAAAAAAAAAAATGAGGCATCAAGCGAAACAAATTTATTTGTTGCGAGAACAGGTTAATCGGGAGACCATTCGAGCAATCAAAGCACGATATCTCCGCTGGCAGACGTGCGCTTCTCTCTCGTGGTGGGTATATATATGTATACATACCTACGTTGCAAAGATTTACGGACACAATGCGGCTCTCGTAATGCAGGTCATTCAGAGAGTCACTCGCTCTCTCCCTTTGCTATGGAGTACTTACATAAATGGTCGTTAATCTAGAAATACTATCTCCGCCAGGAGGGACCGGCCGTACTTGCGGGTCGTGAGGCCCTCACGAAGAGGGCACGGGGCCTATGCACATTATACACTTTTCGGGACAATTAATTTAGATCGAACACCGATAGGCAGCCCTGATAAATTGTTTCGCGGAAAATTAACTCTCGCTGGCTAATATTACACTCTCGCGCAATTACCGCGGGTGCGTTTTCGCGGTTGGGGGAAAAATTTCGAGTTTGTGCTTTTTTTTCTTTTTTCCTCGACTTCTCACCTCTGAAAACTCGTATTTCTTGCGCCACCATCAAATGCACACACACACACACGAACGATTTTCCGTAATGTGATTAACGCGAGATATATGGCGTGCCGAAAGTCTAGCTTCTTTCCGAGAATACGAGGTATTAAATAATTTAACGCACTTATCGTGCATGACTATAGCTCGACCCGTAGGTAATTACACGTTGGCTCGTTCGAGTAAAAAGGTGAATTATGAGAGTAAATACTTTTTTACAACTAATTGGCCCTGCAAAAATGGGTCCGATTAATTACTGTTGGGTAAAAATATCATACATCCGACAAGATTTATCGAAATTTCGAGCAATAAATAAACATATCGTATAGCGAAGGGATTTTCTTGTCGTTGTTCCCGCTAGGATTCGGTGAGAAAAAGCATACAGGATGAGCCACAAAGACCTTGTACATCATATTTTTCGATGGTCCGAAGGGACGATTTTTCCGTGTAAAAAAAAAAAAAAAAAAAAAAAAGCGAGTTGAAAAACCACAAAGCCGACAAGCGGGCGGAGAAGCGATGAAAAGCCGCGAGTTAGCGAGCGAGAGAAAGAGACAGGCGACGACAGGCCGAGAAGCGCTCACGCAGTGTACGCTGAATGAAACTAAGCTCGGATGAAAAAAAAAAAAAAAGAAAAAAAAAAAGGAAGGAGCGTAGGAGTAGCTGCTACTGCGGCTGTCTGTATCAAATTCGGTGGGTAAACGTGGCCCCGTATCCGTTTCAAGCATTGTCTTCCTCCGGTGCGTCGTCTCGTAAGGTTATAGGGTATAAGGTGGAACTTTGAAAGAGCCGACTCGGTGCGTACGTACAGCCCGTTAAATTAGGCGAAAAATTCAGCGCCGCTCTTGGTTTAGGATTGCAGCGCTCGGAATGAATTTTCCAGTTTCGGCCAGACTCCGTTACATTGTCGACGAGATCGCGGCCAAGCCGAGCGTAATCGTTTATCGACTGATGGCGCCTTATTTTTTTTTTTTTTTTTTTTTTTCCTCTCCTTTCTTCATTTTTGACGAGAGGTACCAGGGGGTTTGGAGAAAATATTATTTTCAGGTAGGGCTGCTCCGCGGGAGTGCACTTTATTCTTTCACCGCGGCGAAAACTGTAACCACCTTTAAATTGGACAAGACCTCGTTAATAAGAGATAAATATTGAGACAAGGCCTCAAAAAATTATTCTATATGTATACGTGATTGACCAGAGTCTCTAAACAAGGTTTTTTTTACCTGATCTGACAAGATCTGACACATTTGTCTTTTTTAAGATTAAAATTCCCCACATTTATTCAACTCTAAATATTTTTTTAGTTATTTTCCCCAATGTATCGAGTTAAAACTGCACTTTATTTGTCTGGGGGATTAGTATCCCAACGATAATAGTATTTATCTGATTACAATTCTAAATATTTCGAAAAATTCCCCTCTAAAAAAAAAAAATTTTTGGACGTTGTTTACCTTATTTTTACGATGAAATAGATAATCATTTTTGTAGAAAGTACAATGGTTTTATAAATATTTGAATTACACCAAAAAACGTTGACAAGATAAAGATTTGTTGGATTAACAACGAGATAACGTCGAGATAAGAATATTTGCACCAAAAATAAAAGAAGATTAACATTCGATTCAAATAAATATTTAATTTTTATTTCATCAAGATAAGCAATATTACCGAAAAGACGTCATATCTTGCATACATTTTATTTTGATCATGAGTGTTAACTGCAGAGTTGTGTAATTGTTTTGTATATAATATATGTATTAAATTCGTGTGTCTCAACAGTTTAAAAACTGTAAAATTTCATGTTGTGAATAGTTTTATGAAAAAAGCAGTTTAAAAAAAATGCTTTGAAAAAAAAATAAAAACACCGCAGTCGAGAATGTACAGCGTTGTGAATACTTGACGACTTTTCACTAGGTAATAAATCAAAGAGTCGTGGTTCATGTGCCAAAGGGTAGTCTTTAGCATAAATTTAGCCGCTTGTTTGAAACATTTTACTCGAAAAAATGTCAAACTCCCTCTCATAAGCAGATATATACAGAGCATACACCAACACACGAGTAATGTACAATATCTTACGGTAAGAAAGTCAAGCTCGTACGGTGATTTTTCTTAGGGATGGTCTGGGCTCTCGTCCATACACTACACACAAAGGCATGACGTAATCCCGACTCAAGTTATCAAAGTATTAATTTGATGATCAGACCCTTGACTCTTGCATTCACTGCAGCCATGACAGCGCATGACGCAACGCAGTTACGGTATCATTACATCTCAATTGGTGTTGGTCTTTTATGCATCTATATCATATATATGCCGTGGCCCTAGATCAAAACGAAAGTTCGAAATATTGACACAATAATCATGTAAACATTCTGTTCGATTAAACTCTGCTCTCATAATAGTGATATCGAAAAAAGTGCTTATTGATACATCGCCTCGAGCTCGCGTAGGTATATCATATCGTGCAATAAATTTTCTTAATGTAGACGTATGGCTGTATAAATTTTACCTTCCATAACGACAACGCCTACGTCAGAATGAAATATAATTTTCTTCTCAGCTTCGCAAACGTTGCGCGTCGATGTACTTATTTACCGTAACGACTTATTTTATTTCGCTGCAAAATTCATCCACGGACAAAAAAACCCATTTATGGAGTGACGAAAGCCCATTTTTTATTACCGATTGGAAAGTATATGGTCTCTTTTCTAGCGTGGATTCTGCCGACTTTCCGCTAGTTTACCCGCTATACGTTGCGCATCTTCGGCGCATCGGGGAGGAAAAAAGCCGCGAGGGAGCTCCGCGGCGGAGGAGGAGGAACAGTTTTGGCTGGAGGCCACTACGGTACCTACACTCGTTTAATGGCCGTCATCATTCTAGCGCCGCGATGGGCGATTAACCCGGGCTCTCGATCCCGTACAGCAGGTGATACGAGCCCGAGCACAGCCCCCCCCCCCCGCAGCTGTTTTCCCCTTCTCTCTCCCGCATTGAGCTATTAAACAAACTCTCCTTTCGTCCCGGGATGACATTTGCACGTGCGTTTTATTATTTTCCAAGTGTTTCGATCCTCCTTGCGCCGAGTCGTAAATTACATTTATTTGCTCCCCCTCCCTTATTTTCTTTTTATTTTTTTTATTTTTTTTTTGTCCAAGGAAGGGGGCGATCATCCAGCCGCTCATTATAATTTCATCTCGCGCTCTGCCAAAGAAAGGGCACAATGTCTAATTACGAGATTTCCATCTCTAATGCCAGCCGGTTTATTTTGAAGCCCACGCGTCAATCCCACGCAACTGCAGCTATAGGTATGTACGTATACATATATATTTTGCGCTGCATCAGGTTGTTGGTCTCTCGAAACCGCGACCATTAGTATTGCTAAACGCGTTTGTTTGCGGTTGCACACATGTAACAATAATAATAACAACATATTACCAATCAGCCCGATTGTGGGAAAAAATTGTGATATGCGAGCTACCATCAGCCGTTTGCGACAGCGCATGTACAGCTAGTTAGTGGCGCGCGTGAACCTGTCACGCTTTCAAGTGCCAAAAAGTCGAGTTGGTTCTCGAGAGGAACAAAGCTCTCTCGAGAGCTTAGCCTTGCGCGCCGACGTTTTTTTCATATGTTAAAACATGCGCCGTTGCCAACAGAGACGAATAAAGAAGGCGAAGCGTGATATTGAATCAGATCCGTCTAATAAAGGATGCTGTGGTCCAAAGGGGAGCGTGGGATCAGCTTTGGGCGCGCAGCGACCTGCCCGGCGACTTGGCCGTATATAAAATAGGAAGAGGAAGGCTGTGAAAGGTTACGATGGGACGATGAAAGGGGAGATTCGTTGATATATTTGGATGAATGGAGGGTGGAGGAATGTGTTGTGGGGGGATAACGTCATTTTATCTTTTTTTTTTTTTTTTTTTTATTTCAGAGAACTTCTTTTTGTTATAACTCTACATCAGAGTAAAGATTTTAAATTTAATTGTATATAGGTGCTGGTCGCAGTCTTCACCCACAGTGTTTTATTTGCACCTTGCGGTTAACAATGCAAATGTAAATTTCAGTGAATTTTTAATTTATCTGTACATGTGAGGTATCAGGTACAGCATATATATACATATATATATTATGCAGGGTACTAAATAATTACATATGTAATATAACCGTATTTCGGAATTTAATTTTCCTCTCATTTATAATTTACAGTTGTACAATATAAGATACACGTATTATTAATGCATTATTTCGTAATTTAATAAGAAATAATTTCAATCAAGGGTTAATATTAATTATTTATCGAAAAAAAACTTGGAAACCATTCGATTAAAAGTTGAGTTTAAATTTTAATTGAAGTGC